ACAGTTGTAACTGAAGAATGTAATGTGGAGGCGAATGGACGGGAACTAAATTACTGGGAAGAGCTCAAACTGATATTTAATTGTTAAATAGTTTTATAACTCTCTCTCTCTTTGTTTGTTTATTTGTTTGTTTGTTTGTTTGTTTTTTTATTTTCCTGCTCTGGGCTGCAGATGTGTATTTATTTTTAGTTAGGATTAATGTCTTACGGTTTAGCATCACTTAAATGATTTCTTCACTGGCTTCAGTAAAGTTTTGAATCCGAGCTCTTTCATGATACTGACTGCATTGTGATGACATCTGATATTACAGTTAATATGTATGACATGTGAACTTCATTGTATTTTTCATGACATTGATATGATTTTTACAACCACTTATATTTTGGACTGAAATAAGCCATACCACTTTCTATGATACAATTTGTTTATTCATTTATTTACTTATCTATCCTGAATCACTGAAATAAATAAATGTGCACCCATGATAAATCAAAATAAAAAATTGTTACCCAGTGTTATTTTATACCATGTGTTGCATATATATACATATATATGTATACATATATTTCTGTACACATAAACATGTCAAAATATATTCTAGAAAAAAGTATTACTTTGGGTTATTTTGTTATTCCATGCACAATGTAAGAAATGTGTGCATAAATTTTTTTAGGCGCTTTAAAAACTGATTGAAAATGTACAGTTTTGAGAATCCAATCAAGAATTGTACATCTGAACAATTAAGTCATAATTTTTTATATAGAAAAAATCCAAGTATTTTAAACCTATCCACAGTTTTAAATTCTTTGATTCCAGTTTTTTGCAAATAACCATCATCAAATGTGTTCTGTGTGCAGATTGTTGACAATCTCTCTTGGATCTTACCTTGTACCTCGAATGTCCTTTATCATCAATATTTTTATCTCACCATGAATTAATAATTCTAAGAATATGTCACATGGACTTCTTATTATGCTATAAGATGTTTTTGTTGGAAATCTTTTAACTTGAACTGCATTAAGAACACCTAGAAAACAATCTATCGAATTCTCTGGCTGAATACAACTATGCACATTCATGAAGACACTTCCCTGAAATCAACTGGGGTTGTTCGTTTTATTTACTAAATCACTAATACCACCATCAAATTGTTCTAAATCATTGCGTCTACTATGAGAAGTTGCACACTGGGACAAAACATTAATTCAATATTTGTTTTTTCCTTTTTGCTAAAAATAAGACAGAAACTGAAAGTATTTCACCTGTGTCGTGACAATGTAATTAGTCACAAAGGGATGGAAAGCAAAACCATGGGGATGACGCAAATCAACCTTGTTCTTCCAAGTGGGGTCTTGAGGTTCAAGTGGGGTCTTCAAAGTGAGCAGGCTTCGCATATCTTACTCTGCATTCAAATCTTAACCCATCACCTCCAAAGGCTGCAGACATTGTGCAGATAGTCTGCACATAGGATCCCCCTTTGCCTATCACCATGTGAGAGCCCAATGACAAGTCAGATGTGATTTTTTTACCTTAATTGTGTCAACAATAGAGAGTACATCCTTCAACCCAGAATGTACAATAGGGTTAAAAGATAAAGCCTTACAGTATTTCCATTCACTTGAACCTCTTAAGACTTTCCAGTGATGTTTTCCTAAGTTAGTAGGACATGGACTTCATTCAATAAAGTGGATGTGATTCTCTCTCTGTACATGTATCTTAGTATATTGACTTGTCAAACCAACTGCAGAGTGAACTATGTTTTGTATTTTGTTTTGCAACTTATCTCTGAATTTTTTTAACTACAATAAAATTGGAGTAGTAAAGATATTCCTAGAATTAAAAACTAAAGTTGAGTAGACTTATGCTATTGGGCACAAAAAATTTGTTGAATTTTAATTTTTGGAGTCAGAAACCAGCAACTTAAATAATAATAATTAAATAAATAAAAATCAATTTATAAAGATAAAATTTCTTTGATTTAACACTTAAAATAGTTATTCTAAAAATTAAAAATCAAAATACCACATTCATTTTGGTGTTTTTTGGCTTTACTATTTTGAGATAAAAAAAAAAAACTTGACTGTACTTGGAGAGGTGTATTGTGAAAGGGAAACATACTCTTTTTATATTGAGAAAAAACATGGAATTTTAGTGATTTTCACATAATTTTTAGTTGATTTACCAGAGAACAATTCTATCAGATAATTTGTGTTAATTGATTAATTCAATGTCAAATATGTATGCGGTTTTATTTTATGAATAAGTCTTTAATTTCTTTGTAATATGATTTGTTCAAATTTTCATATGTTATATTTTAATCATATGAAATTGCTTCACTACTAATAAAATGTGATATTATAATTGTTTTGTTGTATTATCAAATTTAAAAATCGAGTCTTATATGTTGGGTTATTCTAATATATTTTTTATTCTAACACTGAAGTACATAATTTTTGATTAATTGCAATATATATCATAAAATGTTAAGTCTTTATGTGTAAATAATAAAGTAGCAATATGTTATACAAGTTTAATAAGTCAAGATGATACTTGATTGAGGTTAAATAGTTGTGAGTAAATTTATTGTAGACCACAAAATAATGGAATGAAATTATCACAAAAATGGTTTTAAATGTCAACATCAATAACTTGAAAGTTGAAGACCTTAAGCAATACTAATCAATCACAAAAAGTACAAAGAATATACTTGATTTTTCAAGTACATATATATACATGCATGGTTTCATTCAAAATTTGTGACAAACCAAAAAAACAAAAAAATATATAAAAATATATAAATAAAGGTGCATTTTGTAGTTTACAAATACAGTTAAGATCCATCAGATGTAAAGGAAGGCCAAAAGACAAGACATCACTGTAGGAAAACTGAAAAAGTAGATGAAATCAACTTTTTATAACTTTTTCTTTTTGATATGCCTACCTTGCAAGACGTGCAAAAATGGGGTCCATGGAAATTGGTGAGTGAGTAGCTCAGTTGTGGCTGGCAAAGGACCACCTGCTCTCTCACCCACTCACTCAAACAGCACAGTTGTACCAGTGTGATGGTGTTCTCAATGTGTTTATTGGCCATGCCCACTTCCATTGAATTGGACCATGTATCATGACAAAACCCTAAAAGACGAAGCTTGAATATGTAAACAGACAGCCATGGGGAAAGTGGCAAAAACAAAATAGAATGATGTAGCTCCTTCATGAGCTTATCCTTCTTATTTGTTATGTGAAAGTGAAAAACATGGATACATATACATATATATGTGTGTGTGCATCCGCAAGGGAAACTGATGGCAACTTGTTTTTAAAGAAATCCTGTTCATTCATTATGAACCACAAAAATGTTGTAGTGTAGGTGTTTTCGAAGTGTGGGTGATTTGAATGGTAGTAATTCACCCCATTGAGCCATTTTTTGAGTGGTGATAGATTTGAGTGAACAAGAATATTTGTTTTATTATAACATTAAATAAAATATATCCTTATGGATGTATTTAATGTCACTCAGGATACCTACTTTGTTCAAAGTTGGGTAGGAGATGTCTGGAAATCCAAGTATGGATGATGAAATGGTACAAATTTCTGATACAAAAACACTTTCTCAACATGCAGTTTTGTTTGTTTGTTAGATTGGAAACCATCAGGAGTACAGAAACTCTAGAGATTCTTATCTGGACATACAAATCCTATTTACAACATAAAATTATTTGAATATGTTTAATGTAAAATGCTCGGGTGTGTACACTAAATTATCAAACTCGACTGCCCTCAAGTGCTTGTGCAATTTAAGTAAAGTAAATCATTGCTGTGTATTCATTATAGAAGAAGAAGAAGAAGAAGAAGTAGAATGCATTGATTTTTTTATTTATTTTTTATACAATTAATGTTGTATTTAAGAATGTGAAAGCCAGATGTGACATTTCATACCATTTCATAAATGCATTCTAAAACTTTATTTCAGTGTTTTTGTTTTTGTTTGTTTGTTTGTTTGTTTGTTTTTTTTTTTTTTTTTTTCAAAAAAAGGCATTAGTACCAAACCATTTCAGTGATGCACCCTACCAACACAACTCATCAAGAGCATGAGAACTAAAGAGAAACAGTTGCAATACCAGAACCATACATAAAGCATTCAATTGCACAGCACAAAAACCAAACATCTATATATATATTTTTAATAAATCTTTTCTTAAAGCAGCATGCAAGGCGATTTCATAAAACCAAGAATTTAGTTAAACGATCACAAGAACAATTCACGGAACCCCTTGAAAACCCACTTCACTTACATCAATTTCATCCATCCACGCGGCCCACACTCCAACCCACTCACCCACCGCAAACCACCCTTCATCCACACATCAATGCATCCCACCGTACGCACCATCCACCCATCGAAACAAACGAACACATACATCCACCACCAACCATTCATCCGTCCAAGAGGCGTCTGTCTGATGCGGTGCATCGGCGACGGGGAGCGTGTGTGTGTGTGTGCGAGAGTGTGTGAGCGGAGGAGTTAATGGAGCCTGTCTGCGGGAGATGACGTCGAAGGAAGGAAGGCGAGTAGGATGCGAAGAGGAGTAGAGTGGGAGGATACCAAGATAGATCCTCTCTGACAGAGAGACAGAAAACCCACCTGCACTCGCGCATTCATACACCACCATCCCTCACTCTCTCTCTCTCTCTCTCATGCATGGACCCACCCAACCCAGCTCCTCCCTCCCTCCGTCTCTCCCTGTATCCCCACTTTCTTTTCTTTTCCATTTGTTGGATTGCTTCCATGCTGCTGCTGCCGCCTGCTGATAGTGGTAGAAGTGGGAGTGGTGGTAGAAAATCATGCGGGGATCGCCCTCATGTCAGGGCCCGCCCTATCGTCACCATTCATTGACCTAGGATAGGCTGGGTGGGCACTGTTCGCCCTTGGCTGCTCTCCAGATCGCGTCAATTCGTCCAACATTCCCCCCCCCCCCCCACCGGCCCCCCCACCTTCCGCGCTGAGTGATCGGGGCAGAAGGTGGAGTGGCCTGCACCCAGGATCCATCGTTGGGCTCTTTTGTTTCCTATCTGTTCTCGTGCGCCGTTACCGCGTTTGGGCACTGCGGGCCTCTCGTAGTATCGTGCAATCACTGGCACGACGCAAGGGGATTCATTCTGGGAAGCGTGGTCTTTGTCGTCCTCCCCCTTTTCGCGTGGACGGTCCCTTTCTGGATCTGGTGTTTGTGATTGGAAGTGTTTTGAGAGTGTATGTGACCATCTTTAGTTCCGAGTTCCTTTCGCCTGTCGATTGCAGAATTTTTCTCTCTATCTGTTCCATCTTCCCTACTGTATCTTTGTTGTAGCCGAGAAGAGTCATGACTTGTCATCGTCGCGGAGAGGACGATCCTACTTGAGAGATGCTTCCTCGTCGCTTGAATTGGATTGGTTAACGCTTCGTGTTGCGCTGCAGCTGAGTTTAGGAAGATGGCGTGAAGCTGTCGCAGAGTAAGTAGCTCCAAGTTCCATTCTGCTGCTTTTTCTTTTCCTGTGATCTGCAGTGTCTCCTGCAGCAAATTGACCTTAGTCAGATTTCCAACAACTGGGTGCACTTGTTATTGTTTGTAGTCCATCCGAATCGTTTCGTTCAGGTTGTTGATTCATCACAACAAACCTTCTCAATCATCCAGAGACGGAGTTCTGGTGCCGTTTAGAGGAGTGGTCGGTGCCAAGGCTACGTTCTGGATGCGTTCTGGATGTTACTTTGTGTATCGATGTCGCCCGAAATCAGTTTCCTGCCAACATTGCAGCTGTCTGGTTTGGGAATCGTGTCGATCTCAGTGGGTGCAATATTGGCGAGAGTCTGTAGGGCTTGGTAATTTTGCGATTAGCAAGTTTGATTTGTTTGTGCTGTCTGGTGATTAATCAATGTCTTGAAAACATTTTTCTCTTTTGCTTACTGCAGCAGTCGCAATGGAGGTGCACAACGGCGAGGTTTGACGCTCTCTAGGAAACTTTTCGTGAGCACCTATCATTGGGATTTCTTCATATTAGGATGACTTGTAACAATTTATTCAAACGATCTGGGTTGATGAAGAGCACTTGAGCACAGGTGGGAGAGAACCATGGCAATTATGGAAGGATGGCTGTACTTGATAGAGTCCAACAAGTTGATGATGACACATCCTCGGAAGCGCTACTTTGTGCTATCCGGGAACCAGGCGCGTTATTACAAGGAGAAGCCTGCTTACCGCCAGGAGGTCACTTCTCTGCCCTCTGTGGACGCTGCCTTCAGTCCTAGATCAATGCACAGCATGCAAAGATAGTTTGCCCTGCAGATTTTAGATACTGGCAAGTCTGGTTAGAGAACTCTATGTTTGCCGCTCACCTCAGATTTCTGCAAATGATCACCGCTAGCTCTGGTGTACCTCACTGCCGATTTGTGTGAACCTTCATTAAATCGCGAACTAGTTTTCGCTGTGGAAGTTGTGTAATTCTGATGTTCGGTAGCTCAGAAATGGATTTAGTGGCATAGCTTGAAGGCTGGAATGTTACTGTGTAGCCGTCGAAAGTGGTGAAGCTTTTAGGATCAGAATGTACAAGAGCTTGAATGCAGTGGTAGATAATTCACAGTTGCTATATATATATAAATAATTTTAATGCAGCCATTCCGGGGACGGGTATTGGTTTCTGTGAATTTTATGGTCGCTGCAATAGATTTTTTTAATCCTGATAACAAGGTGCAGCTACGAACACATCTAAACACCTCATTTCTACTACATCGGGCGTTCGAGCATAATAGGGAATATACATTACCGGACATTGAGCACATGCCCCTCCATATGTCATTTGGGCCGATCCTAGGTTGAAATGCTTACAAAAAGTACTGAACTTGTGCAGGCTCCTCTAAAAAGTGGATCCTTTGATCCTTACACGAGAGTAGTTGACCATGGGCGGGAAAGTATTCATGGTCGAACTCTATTCGTGTTTGAAATATATGACTCTTACACCCATGGAGACAAGCTGAAGTTTGGTGCACGGAGTTCTGAGGAGGCAGCAAAATGGATGGAAGCATTCAAGGAAGCAGCAGAGCAGGTTTAGGGGAGCCATTAACTTCGTACATCTACTCTAGTTTATGGAAGCACTGAGAGATATAAATCGATCTGCTGCTTGATTTTACAATTTCCCAATTTTACAATCGATTGTCGTCAACTGAAACTTTCTTTGTGCGTATTTATCGTAGGATATTCTGCCTGGAAATGATGGATTATTCGTTCCCTCAGGTGGGAGACGGAAGTATCCTTTCAGGTATGGTTGGATTTTGTAGGCGGTGTAGTTGCTAGCGTTTCATGATTTCTCAGCTTCAGATAATCAGCAGCAGAAAAAAATAAAACTAAAAATAAAAATAAAAATACATAATTTTATCATGTCTCGACTACCTGAAATGATTGTAAGTCATGCTTCTCTTGGGACGCAGAGGTTATGTTGTCCTACCACTCGGTACTCTTGAGCTGTCAATCCCTTTCTATGTGGTGTGTATTCTGAGGTGTGTGATTTTCACAGGCTATCAGGAAGGAGAAGCGGTGGTCTAGTCAAAGACCTTTCTGGTGGTTCTGGCACCATCACTAATCCTCTCTTTCGAGAAGGTTCAACAACAGGTTGTTACAAATCCTGAATCATCATGTCATCAAGGTTCATTCCTTTGCACGTCCACAGGAGTGATCCATCCATTGTGTTGTATGGTGATTATTTTTATTCATGGCTATTCCTCAGATGATCACTAAACTGTTGACATACATGAACCTTATCCTCTCACCGTCGAAATTAAAGAGGTTATCTCACATTACTTTCTCTTTTCTTTCGCGTGTAGCAGAGTTACCAGGGTGGGTTGGGTCTTTGCTCTCAAGAGATTCGTCTGCAAGGGATGCATCCCCAGATGTAGTAGCTGATTCGCCGTGGCAAATATTTGGCTGCGTAAATGGTAAATTTTCATGTATGCGACACGGCCTCATTCATCTGTTAAAGCACACATGTGCTTTACAGCAGCTAATATTACAAGATCATGATACCATTTATATCTTACTTTTGTGTCCAGGATTGCGATTATTCAGGGAAACCACTGATCACCATGGATTTAAGAGCATGGTGAGGCTTTGGTTAAAATACTAGAAATCTGCTTTGAACTACAATTTCCGCTGAGAGTTTTGACACTTCATAAGCCATGCTCTAGAGGGTTCCTTGTCATTAGTTTCAGTTCATATTTGCATGATCAATGCGCGTGGTATGTAGTACGTAAAATATGTGGTGTCGCGGAGGATTTTGCTTCATGCACCACAATTTTGGGTTCTGAGTAGTATTTATTTTATGCTGTAGATACGTGGAGAGGATCCTCCTGCACTGATGGGCGTTGGAGTGGTGTTTGCTACTTGTGAGTCCGTATTTCAAACTGTCATGACCTTGGGATCTTCACGATCTGAGTAAGGTTCTTGCCCCCCCCTTTTTTTAGCCACTGCCAGTTCGATATTATGGAGTTTGTTGACCAGAAAGTTAAACCATTACTTTGGTGAGGTTAAGGTTCCATATTCTTGTTCTAGTATTACTATGGTTATTCTTTAATGATATAGTATCAGAACTTGAATGTAGGTAGCTCTGATGATTTTGTAATTGTCCAGGTGGGATTTCTGCTATGCCAAGGGAAGAGTCATAGAGCACATTGATGGGCATTCGGACATCGTTCACAAGCAGTTCCATACGCATTGGCTTCCTTGGTACGAGATTACTTATCCGTAATTCGATACTGTCTATGTGTGTTCATGTAGGAAGTTTGTTTATTACGAAATCTGTGGTGTTAGAATATTTTCATCAGTATTTAATGAAGGGTTGCTATCTTTCCGTCTGGCATAATGTATTTTGACGCTCCTCTGGAAAAGCTAGCTAAGGACTTCATTCTAGAGAACTCTCCCAAATATATGGATTTCTTTCTGTTGGATGTGTAGCTTATTGGACGCTATAGCAACAAACATATCACATTCGTGAGCAGATTTCTTTTTAATTGAAAGTAGTGCAGGCGGATGAAGCCCAGGGACCTGGTTGTGCATCGCTACTGGCGCCGTGAAGACGATGGCTCTTACGGTCAGTCAACGTAAACTATTTATACGTCTTTTTCCCCTCTTTTCTTGAAATAGCTGCAAGACCTGTATCAATCTCACTCCTTAAAATCCTTTGGGTGAATTTGACAGATATAGTTTTCTTGGCTGTTCATCTGTGGTCTTGTAGAGGCTTTTGTTCTTTCATTCTCGAGTAACTTCTGTAGGATCTCTGACAGGAAATTTTTTTTGTTTGAAAATTTGGGCTATTTGTCAAAATCATTGTGGATTATTTGCAGTTATTCTGTACAAGTCAGTGAAGCATGAGAAATGTCGTCCACGACGGAAGTTTGTGCGTGCCTGGCTCAAAAGTAAGCCCTTCACTTAATGAGTTAGCCTCGTTTTCGTCTTCTCTGAAATTCAAAATTCTCTATACCACGAGACGCTAATATTTGGCATGGATTATATGCTTGTACATCACTTCTAAGCTTGGAATTGTTACTTGTAGGTGGAGGGTATGTTATATCGCCACTGCCACCACAGGGAGGTTTCCAGCACCGTTGTGCGGTGAAACACATACTCACTGTAGATTGGAAACATTTCAAAACACCTTGGTCCTCTTCTAAGGACAGGGTCATTACGCTCAAAGTTCTTGAACGAGTGGCAGGTACAGTCCTTCGCCCCACTGTGTGCCTTTATTAAAAATTGATGTGCATTATTTTATCCTACCTTGCATTTCTGCATGTTTCTGTTTTTATTTGTTATTCTACACAGGCCTTTAGGTTTAAACCGTGTTGATTGTGTGCCAACAACGCAATTTTTTTATAAATTATGTTTTAACCCATGTCAAATGTTAGACAAGGGGAGTGTAAGCTGATGGAGTTGCCTCTGAAGATTCTACCTTGAGCGATTTTGCTGATACTTGTGTGACTGTGTTCAGCCTTGAGGGAGTTTTACAAGGTCAAGCCGGCGGACTACATGCCTACCTCCATAAGCCCAGACTTGAGGCGACTGGACGTTGCAGGCTGCAAGCCTCCATTATTGCAGAAGGAAAACATCCCTGAAGTGCATCTATGTGGTGCGGAGGTTGCGCGTTCTCCGGAAGACAATATTGCAGGGCAGAGCATGTTCCGCCAGCTAGCCGAGGAGGAGTTTTTCGATGTTCCGGAAGACTCAGCATGGGACACAGAACTTGAGCCAGATCTGGACGGTCGGCGGGAGTCTACGGATCCAGACGAAACATCAGACGAAGATCAAGTAAGACAAAAATGACGCGATCTGTGTGCTATCTCAAAGAATTAAAAAAAGAAAAAAATCATGTTATTTCCGTAATCCTCGTTCTACTGTCATTATTTCCGTAATCAAGTGCATATTGCTCGTTGTGATCCTGTGATCAATGTCGTTGGTTGTAGCATTGGGCTCGGGTTGGATATTGGGTTGCTCTGAAGTATGGACTTCTCTGCCTTTTCCTGATTATTTTGTCGAATTACATGATCTTTACGATTACATCACAGAATGGAGGCGTTCATAAGCTGTCCGCAGCCGCAACCATCGTGAAGCGCTTCCAAGGAATGGCAGGTATGATATCTAACTTTCACCAATATGGTCAGTTTAGTGGAATGCTAGAATACCCCATTGACTTTCTTGAGTCGACTATTATGGAACACGTGATAAGTACACTGATAGCAATGCTACCAGCGGCTTCCTTGAGGATTGGTATATATTGTAGCTGAATAATGGTGTGCACTGCCATTGCAGCTCAAAAGCGTACACACCAGGACGACGACGAAGATGGCATAGAGCTGCTTGCTAGAGAAGGTACTCTTCCAAAAAGCTCTGGTTGTTGTACCACGAGCTGTTATGAATCAGCCGAGGCAAGCATCTTCTTGATCCGTGGCAAACACTATCTTCAAGACCGCAAGAAGGTAATTCAAAGTTCGAAATTCGTATTTTTACTACTGAGTTGATTTGTTGGTTACTTTTGAGATATTTTGCATTTGTGAGTTATTGTAACTGATGGTAGGAGTAATCTTTCCTCACATTGGCACATTTGATTTGGGCTGAATGATACAGGTGGTGGCCAAAGACCCGGTAATGCAATTTGTTGCGGCCGATTGGTTGAAGTCCAACAAGAGAGAGGATCATCTTGCCTCTCGGCCCTCTAATCCAGTTCAGCAGTTTTTGGCCAATCAGGTAACCATTTGGTTTGCGCATGTGAATATGTTGACACGTTTGTAATTTTTTTGTTTATTAATTATGCTTAAAATAATAGTAATCTACTTGCTTTGATCTAAGCTCTGGTTGTTACGTAGCAACCATTATGTGCCAAGTTGCAACAAATCTAGTGCAAAAAGTTTGCATATGTAAAAGTGCAGCTTACGAAATCGTTGTTCTTTCAGAGAAAGATCGAGGGTCGAGTGCAAGATCCTTTTTTCTTTATCATCAATATTCAAGTAAGTATTGTTAGAGTCCTTTTCTGTTATTTGATATATGGCTCAGTACTTTACTGTCCCGGAGATAATTCTGGGGTGATGATAGGTTAAATTTGTAATATTGAAAGAAAACTAGTTTTAGTTGCTAGTTTTCAACTTCTTCTTTTTTTCTTTTTTTCTTTCTTTTCTAACGTTTCATAATTTCTCAAAAATCCTAATTTTAGTCATTTTGACGTCTTACTTTGAAAACAGTTGATTTTTGTGTATTTGGTATCAGCTGTGTTTGATTCTTTGAGATTGGTGACTCCAGGTTCCAGGATCTACAACATACTCTTTAGCTCTCTACTACATGATCACACAACCCCTTTCAGACTTCCTCATTCTAGAAAACTTCGTACGTGGAGATGATCGTCACCGCAATGCTAGCTTCAAGCTCATCCCACACATTGCAAAGGGTCCGTGGATTGTGAAGCAAAGCGTTGGCAAGACGGCTTGCTTGATCGGAGAAGCTTTGGAGATCACGTATCACACTGACAAGAATTATATTGAGGTGTGTAAAGAATGTGGAATAGTTTGTTCAAACTTCTTTCACCATCTACAGTGGATCGTTTCAGATTCCAACAATGTTAATGTCGATGTATCAACATTGATGGATGTCATGGAAATAGTCAAGCTCGTTCCTTTGTGTTACTGAGAAGCGTCATGGCATGCATATCAATGTGCAGTTGGATGTGGACATTGGTTCATCCTCTGTAGCGAAGGGTGTAGTGAACCTGGTGTTGGGTTACTTGAGCAACCTTGTTATCGAGTTGGCATTCCTCATCCAGGTAATTCCACAAATTTTATGGATCTCGCTTCTTAGCGACTTTTGGAGTGATGTGTTTTTTTCGGTTGTTGTTGTTGTTAATGCCATAGGTTTTTCTTGAACGCCATTTTGCGTCAGAGTATAGCTCGTCAATAGTTTGAGCATAGCACTCACAGATTGAGATGTGTGTAGGCCAACACTGAAGAGGAACTTCCAGAATATCTGCTTGGTACCTGCAGGCTTGTAAACCTGGATATCGCAAAAGCCATTCCTGCACGCCCGGAGTGAAGAGGTATTCACTATGAGTCTGAATCTGTAGCTTAGGCGAGTCGACAGAAGTCATTTTTTTCTGTGCTTCAAGCTTGTATTCCAATCAAAGAGTTAGGTGAAACGAAGAGGTAGAAAAAGCTATTCTTTAGAGTTTCTATGCAAGGAGGCTCTAGAAACATTTAATTTTTGGATAAGACTTTGTATATATTTATACATATAATACATTTTGAAACTTGCATCCATATTTGGAACTGACCTGAGACTCTTGCAACATTCTCAATCCAATCGTAAGGAAACTCAAACATCGACTTATACCAATTTGTGTACACATATCTCGTTCATGATGAGTCTTTCAAAAAGCCGCTGCGCAAATCTTCTGTATGAAAAAGATGTTTGTGTACTGTGAAGAGTTACAATTCTGAACTTGAAAGCAATCAGATGAAGCTCCATTTCATGACAATTTGTTCCTTGGTACTAAACAAACCATTGCTTGTGATACACATCACAAGTGCTTTTACCTCAATAAATATTAGGTTAGACTTTAAGGAACATGCATTTGCGACTGATGAGAAATGCTTGTTTTCTGTTCCTTTAGGTTGCATAAACAATCATGTGCAACTGCTAACACGTACATGGTTACACTTTGGTTATTCACATTAGCGTCTGCCACTAATTTGATTAATTGGTCTACTCTATTTGGAGTAGTTTGATTATTACAATATATCAAAACATAATATGAATTGTAAAGTAATTAAAACTTACTAATGATAAAAACTACTATAAATTTTCAACATTTTCAACATAGGAATTGTAGATAATACATATATCATATTCACATGTAAATTAACACAAAGTAATAAAGATTATTAATGAATTTTTTTAATGCAATTAAAAATTTATTAGTATGCAATAAATTAGATAAATCTTATATATTAATATTAATATTAATATTTCAACATTTTATCATGATAGCTTTGTGTTTCCAAATGAAAATATGAAAAAAAAAAAAAAAAAAACTTTTTTGGAAATAAATATTTATTGAAAGACTAGAATCATGTTTAGTATATAAAAATTATTAGACTTTATAAGAATTCTTAAACACCACGTCTTAATTATGTTAAATTAAACATACATCTTGAATCTATGTAAAAAAAGATTAAAACTATAATATAAAATTAGTATGAAAATTTTAAAGACTAAAATTTATAAACTAAACTTTGTGGCAATAAAAACCAAGTATATATATAAATTTATAAGATGCAACATACATGTCTTTTTGTTAAGATATAAGAAATCTTGTAAGGATGACTTTAATTGTTTTTTTGATTGTATTATTTGCAAGGATTAAAGACTTGTGCTCTAGGCTTATATTGTCTTGTTACCTAAGCTACTAGAAGAAATTTTTCTATAAAAATTTGCTAAAAATTCTTCTTAACAAGACTTGCTAAACAAGCCATTAATATATTTTTTGAAGAGATTTTGTAACAAATCTTCCAACTAAGTTTGGTGATGAAACTTTTAAAAAAAAACTTCCTAACAAGATTTGACTTTCAAATGTCAATCTAGAAGATTTAGAAACTTTCATCTTTAAAAACAAATCAAAAGATGCATAAGTTTATACCTATAAGAGTGAGTAGATTTAAATATTAAGATCAATTTTTATGCACTATTTATATAATATGTTACAATCAATAATAATATATTAAATATAGTATATAATAACATATTAAAATATTATAGTAAAATATCAAAAAAATATATATATATATATATAAAGCTTGTATAAAATAATACGACTTTAAGTTATTATTGTATAATATATGTAGATGTATGTTATTGTTTTATAATTTTTGAATTTTATTTTCAACATTTTTTTGGTTTTGAATATTGAGATATTATATTTTTTTAACAATCAAAGTTTAAATTTCTCTAAAATTTGATATTCTAATAAGGTTTCATATGCAAGAAGTATTCTAAAATCTTCTAAGAGCACTAATATACTAATTACTAATAATATTATTGTAGAGTTGTGTGATGAGTTGGGCAATGAACATGTCTAACTTCCTCCCATTTTATTCAAAATAATTGCACAATTATTATTTGGTTCATTTGATAGTTTTTTGTTACTTAAAACTATTTCTAAAAGTTTAGAGTAAGTTTAGAGAAGAAACTCTTCACGAAATAAAGGGCATTAATAGAACTTTTTAACGATGGCTTTTAAAAATAGGTTTGTAGGTCTACAAATCCCATTATGATGGTCAAATCTCTTATATTTGGTTTCACTACTTAGTATATTGATTAAATAATTTAAAACCTCAGATGTAAAATATTCAATTTTTGTTATTGATAAATAATTTAAACTTTGAAATAATTTAAAAAATTACATTGAATTTAAGAAATATTGCTCCAAAACAAGACTTTGTTGTGTTTGACTATGTATTTGTTCCACGATTCTGACCTGTGTCGTCAATTTTCACGCCATGGTTGTTGAAATGTGATAATATTATGTGTGTTGGACTTAGTTCTAGCTGTCAGTTCTGCATTGATAAGAATAGTCAAGTTTTTTGTTTGCTGTCGTGCTAGTAGATGGAAAACAAGTTATAGGCCGGAGCAGGACAAGCAGTATTCAATGGATTCAGAACTGGGTGAGTCTGCCAATACTTGGAATTGGGTGTGTTTATTGTGTGTGATGGAGTTTGGTCGAAGAGGGACACGACCTTTCTGAGGGGGACAGTACCCTCGCATCCAGGAACGTATCTAACACTCACTCTGTGCACATGAAATCGACATCGGATGCACGAACCTTTGGATAATCGAAGTACACTGGCCACACGATAATCGAAGTATGAATTGACGGACGTTGTCAAACACTGACAACAGCACGATCAGTTCACATGTCGACTACACTCGCCAATCACGAAGTCTCAGTGCGCAACACAGCCAAAGTCCGCTTCTGGGCTTTAGACGAGTGTTGGGAATTCTCGAAAATCTTCAAGTAATTCCGCTTGAAGGGAGAAGTTTATATCGTTGCCACATCCACTGATGTAGGTTTCAGTGTGAAATCACTCAGTACAAACTTCGACAACAACCGTATTGGTCTAGTATTCTCTCACTCTTAAAAACTCGGATTTCACGCTGAAGCTAATTGTTTGAGAGGACGCAAATTCCCATTTCATTAGCAATTTGAAAGCAATTTAACAAACATGTCAAAAGTTTAATTCCTCAAACACCACCGAATTACTTCGATGAATCAAGCCGTTGCTCAAAGTAGATAGGAGACAATCTACCGTGAGCTTATGCTTCTCTCTGCCATCGAACCACTTCGAGTTCGAGTCACCGTATTCAATTTCAGACGTACTGGCAATGCCGCCCATCTACTACGCATAAAAAATCAGTGCATCCGAATTTCGATCATCCAGAAGGACCACGTTACGCAACCGCTTATCCAAGATTGATATCACCTGTAATTGTCCATATAATCATGTTTGTGTAGTTATATGCATCACTGAGAATAAACAATGCTAATGTTTCTCGAATTCTATGTCATGCCTGGTTTGGTTGACATGGTATCATCGCGTTGTGAGGCGTGAAGCGTATGATTAGAGGTGAGCACTGCTCCTAAATGTCTGAGAGTCTTTTAATTCTGTGAGGAGAGTACCAAAGTTCTCGTAGGTGAACACTGCTCCTGCGTGTCATCTCAGACACTAAAGATCGTATCGGTGAACATTGATCTCGAGTACCTGCTCAAAGTTGAGCTGTTGAAGAAACAATGTCGGGATGGCAACAGAATGTTCAGATAGGAGAAGCCAATAAGTTGGTAGGAATTTCTAACTATTATGTTTGGAGTCTTAAAATAAGGGCAATATTAAGAAAGGGATTATGGGTGATTACTGAGAATTTAGTAAAATTCCCTACAATAGTTGTCGGAGAGCATCAGACTGAACTAACGTTGACTGCGCTGGTGTTGAGAAAGAAAAAGGCTGCTGCTATGTCATTTCTTACCTTGTCCATAAGCGACTTGATCGACTTGATCGACTTTGTTGTTGTTCACATGAATCCTGAAAAATCATTTGTTCTACTAAGAAGTCGTTACCAGTCAAGCGACCAGTTGCAAATCTTATCTATCACAAGCTAACTTCAAACAATGTAGTTTCCATAAGAAGGCTCAATTGAAGTTTGAGTCCCAAAGTGAGAAGAACAAAAACATGTCAGTAAACATGGATAAAACATTTCTAGAAAGATTTTTAGTTTACCTTCTTTTCTATATGTTACCGCATAGCTTCAATGCTCCATTCAATAGCTTATACATTATAGTGTCTCTTTGACATTAGACCAAGCTCTTGTAAGTTTCATAATTGAGACACATCAATGCAAGCAAAAAAAAATCCAACTTGGCAATGAAGTATTGATAGTCATGAAAGGATGGCAAAGAGGAATAAAGAGACCACCTAATAATTCCAACCAAAACTTTGGTTAAACCAACTACTTCCATTCCAAAGGATTTTTTAGGGCAAAGGTTTTTAAAGAAGACAAGGAAGAAGTTTTTGTTGATTGTAGTTTCTATTTTAAGCTTTATAATTGAGACTTTTCATATAATGCTATAATTGTGGTAAGTAGGATCACTTTACTTGTAATTATAAAGTTCCAAAATTAAGATATTGATATGATAATAAATGCAATTCAATGTTTTGAAACTCTACTATTGGAGTCGTATATTGATAGTTGTACATTTGAGTATATAATTAGTAATTATTAAAGTTTTGATAGCTATGAATCTAGCAATTTTAGTAAAAAGTTAAAAATTAAAAATTATAAAAAATAAAAAATAAAAAAACAAAAAACTTATAGAGTCCAAGACTTTGATACCTCTACTATCTAAAATAGGATTTGGATAAATAAATCTATCAAATATTACATATGTTCCTAGTTTCACTAAAAATCTCATTTAAATGGTGCATATTTAAATACTAGAATATATTAGTTTTTGATAGTAGTTATTGCTACATATTAAATAAACATAATCTTAATATTCTTTCTATAAGAAAAAAAATAATCTAATCAATGGATCATTTAGACTAAAAATCCATTTTGAAATAAATTCTATAGACAAGAAAAATAAAACAATTCTTTGGCATAGTTGCTTTGGTTACATTAGTTGTTTTGCTAGAAGATAATATAAGGAATATTTTTTGTATAGGACTTAAAATAGAGCTTCAAAAATTACAAAAGAAATTCACTTAGATTTAATGGAGTTC